CTGTAGCTTTTATTTCATTACAGTTGTAAGTTTTACTCACAAATACCTGGAAAAACAGCGTGCATTAGTGAGCGTGCTCGCCTCTCCACAGATCTGTTCAAGCCTCATTGGTCTCTGGTCATGGACACATCAGATACACACATCTACATGTGCAAATACAAACACACGTGAAAAGTGTTTCAGCAGAAACACGACTGCTGCTCTGATGCTTCGTCATCATCATCATCAGAGCAAAAGGGAAACACTGGTCACACTTTTGGCACATCAGCTCCTTAAATTCTGTTCATCACTTTACAAACAAATCAGAGTTTTCCACAATCTCCACTTTAGACGGAGTTTTTAGAAAGATTTGTTTTCAGAGGCAAATTCGCCATTTGAGTAAAAGATGGAAACAAATGAAGAGATTTTTTTTTTTCTCGGTAATTCCACTCATTGCAGGAACCAGGTCTAAACTAGAGCTAAACCAGTTCTAAAACAGGTCTAAAACCAGGTCTAAACCAGATCTAAAACCAGGACTAAACCAGGACAAAAAACAGGACTAAACCAGGTCTAAAATAGGATTTAACAGGACTAAATCCTGCCGCGTGGACGTGTCTCCTCTTCTTCTATCAATAATATTTTTAATACGGCAAATCAAGTAATCCAAAGTATTCAGATTACATTACTCACTTTAAGTAATTTAATGGATTCCGTTACAAACTACATTTTGGGGTATGTAATCTGTAATCTGTAGGGGATTACATTTTAAAAGTCACCTTCCCAACTCTGTATGTATGTATGTGTGTACATATATACGTATATATATGTGTGTATATAAATTATGATTTTATTTAAATTTGTATATTTATTGTTATGTTGTTACATTGTGATGTTTACTATCTTTATTTTGTCTATTTAATACAAAAATATATATATATATATATAAAAATTTATAAATAAAAAGATTTAGAGGAGAAACTGGTCAAAATACACCAACACAATCTGCATCATTCTTTTCCCACAGTGCACTTCTTCAAAGACCTGGGAGGCAAATCTGCCCAAACCTGCTCCTAAACTGAACCTAAACCTGTTTATGAAACGACAGAATATATCGTTCTGTTTACAGTCATTTCTAGCGTCTTTTCCAGTGCACAGTGTCTGTTTTGTGGCATAACTGCGTTCNTTTAAGATCAGGCTAAAAGAGGCAGGTTTTACGCCGAAGCAACCCTCTCCATTTATCCAGGCTGGGAACTGGCACAGAGGGACACACACAGCGCCCCCTGTGGCTGGATTAGACCCACCGCCCGTGCTTGTATAGTTAATGTGTTAGTAAGTGTGTGCAGACATATTCACCATAAACAGCAGCCTCTGACCCTATGAAGACTAGTTTAACAGTTTAGATCTAGAATGAGAAGAGTCAGAAGAGTTAGGGTTAGAACTGTCATTTCACAAGACAAGCCCGAAACAATTTTACAACATACACAATGGCAATATTAATGAGATTTATCCTTTAACCCTGTAAAGTTAATACAGTGTTTAAACAGAAATGTCAACATATTTCAAAGTGGTTAAAATAAACAGACCCTGTGCAAACCTGTGGAAGAGTTGGATTAGGACACGACTACTAGACTTTGAGTTTAGTGTCAGGGTTAAGACCAGAACCATCACACTCTATAAACCAGTCCAAATCTGGCCCACGTTTAGACCAGTTCAGACCAAACCAAATATAAAACATACACACAACCCAAAGCTCAAGTCAGTTTTCACACCTTTTTACCTCCATATGAAACTGTTGAAGGATTAATTTACAATAAGTCATTTCAGTTTTACCCAACCATAACATGTTTTACCAGCCTGTTTAAGTCTGGCCCATATTTTAGACCAGTCAAGGCACACACCAAAAACACACAAGGGCCCAAGGCCAAGTGCAACCTGTGGAAACTACGGTGTAAACATTTAATCTGGCCCACTCCACATTTAGACCAGATCAGACCAAAAGAGACCAGCGGTCTCCATAAAAGTAAGCCAACGTTTAGAATATGGCCTACTTTCGGACCAGTTTAGGCCTAAAACTAAAGCCTTACACTCTAACATAAAATCTTCTGCATATTCAGGCCTCGTTTTAACATGATGCTTCACACACAGAAATGTCACCTACCTGAGTTAAAGTCTGCATGGACAGACCAATAAAACCAGTGAAACCTGCAGCAGGGAAAGATCCCTGTAAGATTATGTCGGTCACAAATCCAACGTCAAAGAGTCAGAACTATTACATTCAGACCACAAAAAAGTGACAGAACACAAGGGCGTCAACCCTTGGACCAAAGCTCAAGTTAAGATGAGTGGCTGAGCACTCACTCACAGCAAGAAGGATCCTTTCTGTGCAGAATCTGCACAGGTGTATGGCAGCAGCTCACTGCTCCTGACAGGCTGCCCCAGCAACACTTTGTTGATGATGAATGGGTCAAAGGCAGAGGGAGAATTTCGCTCAAAAGTGATTACTAAAATATACTGTACCTCAAGATTATTCCAAATGATTGGGTTTTAAAAAAAAGATGTGGGTTTCTCCATTTGGTTCCATTTTCTTTGGTCTTTCCTTCCTTTGGGCTCCCATCAACATTACATGAGTGAGGTGGAAGATTTCATTATTGTGCACAAATCTCATTAAAAAAATAAAATAAAAAAAAAGTTTCTTTGCATTAATGACTTTAGAAACCTATTTTTCATTGTTTGGCTTCCTTTCTGTTCATTTTTTTTTTTTAAACACATGTCTCTCTGTTCTTTAGTGTTCAGTCCAGGGCTGTTGTTGCAGTTTGTGTTCTAGATTCTTCACTTCTCTTCGGTCCTGTTTTAACATTTTAGTGCTTTGATTTAATAGAGTATTTGGTGCTGAAATTGTTGCACTTCAGTGTATATCCTTTCTCTGGAATGGGTCCAAATCTGAATTCCTTCAGTGTTACAGCAATTCTCATTCATTCCACATTTTTGATTATAGCTTTTGAAAACCTTTCTTGATTAGTTCAGCAATTCGTCTCCTGAGGTTTTTACTTTCTTGGGTCCATATGTGGCTTTGTCTTCAGATAGAGCCGGGGCAAACACCTGAAAACTCAAGGGTTAGACAGTGACATATTACAGTCGTGTTTATCTTAGCGGTACACAACTAAAGTTAGCATGGTTTAGCTTAGCAGTATTAAACATTACAAAATGAAACAGGAACAACCTGCAAAAAGGGCTGGATTAGAATGTTTAGGTTGGACGTCATCCTAAAACCTGAAAACGGAAGAGTTATTAAAATGACAGTCATCGCATTTTAGCTTTAGCTGTTTTCCAATAAAACAAACTAACGTCTGCTACAGTTGCCGCAAATGATCTTCATGTCTCACAGTTGCAAGACATGAAGTAGATTTATCTTAGATTAACTATGAACTAATTAACAATGATAATAATAAAATGATATCTGTGGAATGGTTAGAGGACACCACCCAAACCTGCAAACACAAAGGAAAAGTTATAAAACAAAATTACAAAATACTAGTGTATTTCAGCAAAACCGTTTTAAATTCACCTTTGGGTCTTTGAGGGAAAGCTGATGGATGTTCAACCCAAAACACACAGTTCATGTCAACTCTTGGTGGTCTGAGTGCATAACAATGCACAATGTTTTAGTTTTATTATTACCAACCACCCCAAACCAGGGGTGTCTCAGTTTTTGAATTAGAAAATCTGGTCACACTAGTTATTCAGTTTGTCCAAATTTGGACCAGCCCACACCAAACGCAATACAAGGACCCAAACCTAAGTGCCACCTGTGGAAATTAAGCATTAAAATCTAGTCCACATTTAGATCAACCCACAAGAGACCCCAGTCTCCATAAAAGTGTGTGTAGAATATGACACATTTGGACCAGTTTAGGCCCAAATCAGAAGCCATTAGTACATCAATAAATTCAGACCTTGTTTTGATATGATACAAGGGTCATGTCATTTTTGTTTTAAAATCTAGTCCAAATTTAGACCAGATCAACCCACAAGAGACCACACAGTCTGTATAAAATAGTTTAGAATATGGCACATTAGGACCAGTTTAGGCCCAAATCTGAGCCATTAAAATCCTCAGCATTCAGAGCTTGTTTTGAGGGGAGACAAGGTAAAGAATAAAAAGAAAGATGTTTTAGGATTTGAGGGTTACATCATGACCATTGTACAATTGGATGCATTTCATACAGTTTTAAATTTCCAGGACAGACAAGAGATTTTTATTTTTTAAGTAAGTTTTCATCCTATTAGAAACCTTTGATGACACGTTGTTTAAATGTTGCATGTTTGAGTGAGTGTTACATGTGAATTATGGAGGAGATTGGATGTAAATTACTGTTCATGGACCCAACAGATTTGACTCTGAAATTGCAAGAATAATGTACAATTCAGATCAAAATAAAATGACCAAAACATTTTAAAGTATCAAGATATTGTCATGATGGTCTCTTCCTGGTTTGTTTTAGTTACTGACAACTATGCCTTCATTTACCATTAAAAGGATAATGGATAAAAGAATAGCAATATTCCCGTATTCATCCATTTTCCTCTGGGATTAAGTTAATATGTTAACTCACCATGTAATTAATATTCATAAGTCACCACATAGCTGATAAGAGAGATTTCAAACTTTTAATATTGATTTTTTTTCTGAATGTCTAATGGTAGGGTGACCAGAAAAAAGTTACATAGTGTGCCTTTAATGGATTTAAAATTTTATGCCAATTTTACTAAACAAAACAAAAAAAACGAAAGATATACTACCACAAGTTTATTATGTAAGTAATACCGTTTTAAGAAAATTAATTGAAACCAGTTTTATTCTCTCTTATTACAGTCCAATAGCAAAATTGCAATCAGATATATCCTAAAAAGAAAATATTAAAACATGGTGCTTATGTCAGTTGTAGTCCTAAAGGCAATACTGCTGGGTGGTGGGTGTAGTAGTTCCCTTGACAGTCTATAATTGCTTCAAAACATGGAGCTTCAAAATATTGCTTCAAAACATGGTGCTTATGTCACAGTTGTAGTCCTAGTAAGGCAAAAGTGCTGGGTGGTGGGTGTAGTAGTTCCCTTGACAGTCTATAATTGCCCAAAGATGCTATTGTTCACATATACACGTCTATGGTGTTTTGGATCCTTTTACGACACAGTGGACAGTTCTGATACACGTGATCTTGCCTCAGAATGAAGTCTTTACAGTTCTTGCAGAGACAGAGGTGCCTGCACGGGAGGAGGAGAGCGGTCTTGCGGTGGTCCTGGCATATTACGCATCTGTCTTCCGAGTCACCCTGCGGTCTAGGCGGGTCCGAAACAGAGTTGGATCGCTGGTGCTGCTCCGGTGCGGTGTTAGTAGATAAATTCAGGAGTAAATCAATGATCTGCTGTTGAAGTTGACGCAGTGTCACCAGCAGGGGCTCAATCGCTTGTTGACCAAACCGGAAAGCCGTGAAAATCCATTGATGACTTGCACATTGTTGCAGTTTGCGATACATTTGAGAGACAAAATGTGAAACTAGCCTTCGCGTTTCCTCTGGCTTGATGTAGGCAATGGCTATGAGAGCTATAACACCAGTCACTATTGCTATTTGTACGAGTAAATACACCAAAGCGTACAAGCAATACAAGACCCAAGTAAAAAGTGCCCATAGAAACGCGATGGTACCGACGCAGAGCACGCCGCTGGAAAGTAAACTAGGAGTGAATCTAGCAAAAATTATAAACTTTACAAAAAATTCGACACACAAGCAGAGCAAGGCAAAGCGAGAAAAAGCGGATCCTTCATAATATAAAAATAGTAAATGTAAAAAACCGAGGCATTTCCCGACATCAGAGAAAATCAGTTTAACCAAATCCATGGTAATGTGCTCCAAACAAACTGCCTGGAGTTTTTGCTTTTGGTTTCTTTAGTTTCTTTTTGACTTTCTACGGAAGCCGTCTGGTGAGTTTCCTTTATCGACTTAGACCTCTGAGTTTGACAAACACTTTTTTCCTATCCTTATATAACACATCAGAAGGAAGGAAAAGTATTTTTATTTGATTAAAAATACGAATTAAACATCTGAAAAATATCTCGTACGTTGCAAGTGCCAGTAGAGGAAGCCAAAAACAGCAAATCAACATCGCTGCATATTCAGTGGTTTATCAAATTAATTGTAGACCAAAAAATAAGTTTATTTCATTGTCTTGTATGGAAAAGACATAGTACAAAGAGGATGGATGGCATGGTTTATCTAGTAAGTTATTACATGGGCCTGGTGCTAGCTAAGAGAGGAGAGAGTAATGAGAAACAAAGTTTTGAAATGTTTATTAATTGAAACTTGTTGTGAAGTGACCTGTAAAAGAAAAGGAAATAAGTAAAAGAAATAAATGCATTTAATTGAAGTAATTATATTTGAAATTAGTGGTACTACTTACCACCCTCTTGTGGTCTGCCTCAGGTGTTCCGGCCAAAAAAGTCCCCAGGCAGCCGGAGCACCTTAAAGGTTGTATGGAGGATTTTTTTTTTTTTTGTTTAAAATTGTCATTGAAAGTTTTAAATACCATTACAGAGACGCAGCAGCCTTTTAATTATGATGACCGAAAAAAAAAAAGAAAGAATGAAAATCTATCAGTTGTGGACGTAGTGAGGCCAGATAAACATCAGCCAATAGAAAACGAGGCTCCCTCTTTTTCTATTGGCTGTTAAGTTGTCAGTCAAACTCCCTACATTTTTAGTGTAACTGAGTCGTCGGCGCTCGGGGATTATGTGGTTTATGCAGCGGTTCTTTGAGGCTTTTTCAAACTGTAGCTTCCTTGCAATTCGCACAAAGTTTGCTTGCGATGGCGGACGAGAATCCACGACCAGTTCGCCGCAAAAGAAAGTCCGAAGGGTCTAAAAACTGATGCGTCGGTCGCTAAAATATTTCTAGGCAGGTCACTTCAACAGTAATTCTGAACATGCACTGGATGTAAACAAATGTGATTTCTAGAGTAAAGAGGCGGGAGGAGATGTTTCTACTGAGGAAGGTGGTGTCACACATGCACAACATTTGAAAAAGGACTGTCGCTGTATTTCGCTTCCCTTAAAAAATCCTCTATACAACCTTTTCCGAAGGTTCCGGGGCAGGTAACCATGTTGTTAGGAGGAGGGGTGCGCAGAGATTTTAACTTCTACTTGGTATTTTAAATTCACAATTAAACACTGCTAATTTAATAATGATATATATTTTTGTATTTAGATGTAATTGAATATGTGTTGCACTGTTCTGATACAATAAAACTTTAAAATATTCAATGGAAATTATTGGAAATTACCTGCACGTTAAGTTGAGCTCACTCAATTAGAGGACGAGGCCTTTAAAAGGAGCCAGCCTCACCTTTGTAGGAAGGAAGGTGCCATGCAAGTGTAGGTCACTGCCATGCGAGTGTAGGTCACTGCATGCGAGTGTAGATCACTGCCATGCGAGTGTAGGTCACTGCCATGCGAGTGTAGGTCACTGCCATGCCTGTGTGTTTAATGTGATAATTGTGTAAACATTTTTCAACTTTTTCCTGGATATGGAATGAATGCAGTACAAATTGGCTCACCTCTTCTACTGCTAAGGTTGCTATCCAGGCTATTACATGTCCTTTGGAAAAAAGTTGTTTTCTTTTTCTTCACAGTAGGTTCTTTAAAGCATCTGTAAATAGACTGGCAGACCCAGCCCTGTTGTTTTCTCACATATCACTAAATTATATCTATATTACTGCTGTCTAATAGAATGCCAGTTTTGGTCTGACAGGAGAAGATCAGAGAGTACAGTGCTGCGTCTCAGTTCTTTCCTCGCATCCTCCTGGATTCCCTCCTTAACCCTCCGGTTCTCAGCTGTTAATGAAATGTGTCATATTATGTTATGTCCCAAGACTCAGGAGGCAAGTGAAGGCCATATCTGCCACCTAGATAGCCAGATAGATACATTATTTATAGATTTTATTTACAAATATTTAAATACATTTTTAAAGCAAATGATTATAAATAGTAAATCCAAATTAATGAATAGCAGCCAGTAATATTATGGTGTGCCTAACTTAAACTTTTCCTTTGTTTTGTCTGTTAAATGATTAAAACAAAAACAATTGCACTTATTGTGTGAAATACAGATGCCAGTCACTAAGAGGAAGTCATTGTTCTTCTAAAACTGATAAAGACAACAACTGTTCACTCTCTAGTTGGTTCGTTAAGGACAACACTAACAGCCTAAGCATTTTTTTTTTTAATGGTGTGGCAACCGAGAGGTTCAACACTCCGGGAAATGTTAAGTTTTATGGTGAGTTGCTGCAACAACGCCACCCCAAAGCTAGTTTGGGGAAATTAAATCTAAATGTAAGGCCCACAGGTAAGCATATCATTAAGAGAGAGAGCCAGGTTCCATCATTTACACAAATCTTTATTCCTTTCTATTTTAAAAGACAGATTTAAGTGGTTTAAAAGTAGCTACGTCCATAAAAATCAGCAAACAGTAAAACACTACAGTGGGAAAACGAGTACACAATATTGAAAATGCAAAACAAAGCCCCAAAACCCGAAGCAAAACAAAACAGAGCAAAACAAAATAAAACAAAACAAAGCAAATGTGAAGCAGAAGTACAACAAAACAGAACACAACAAACAAAACAGCAGAGGTGGTGTCCTCACGCCACTGCAGGCCCCCGCTGACACCTAGAAAATTAAATTTTGGAATTAAAATCGGAGCCTGCAGTGCAAGGATCTGGGCTAAACATACCGTGGTTGAAGGTGACAGTGCGTAATCCCCAGGCTGAATCAAAGGCAACTACACAGGATAACGCCGTCCAGAGGTGGTCCAGACAACGTGGACCGGCACACGCTACAAACATACAATTTAGAGCGGTTTGGCACAGGTAGCACGTGATAAGGGTTTGGTTACCTGCCGCCGCGGTTTAAGAGACACGGCGGCGCACCGCCAAGCGCAATGGACAGGGACTCGCTCGGCTCACCCGTGGAGCTACAGAGAGACACCGGTAAAAGTATGGGCACGGATGAATGAGTGGAGGAGTATCGGGCGTGCATTACCTTATCAGGGAGACGAAAGCGCGCCCTAGGTGCTCCGTGATTCGGAGACGCGAGGGACAGATGTGGTGAGAGCACCGGCCAAGCAGCGACACTAAAAGAAAACGTGATAGGAAATTTGATGTAACGGGCATGGAATTTACAAAGTGAAAGTTACCTGAGCTGGAGGACAGAGCGGCCACAAGGAGAGGCCCGGAAGAGCGTGTGAGCCAAAAGGGGGAACGACTGAGAAGGGAGCGCTTAAATAGCCCACCAGCGCAGCGCCACAGAACGCCAGGTAAGAGCACCTGCAGCCTAGACCCTCAAAGCTGGTCTTGCCACATTCTACCCCCCCGGTTTGCATCGTCGACCCGACGATGAAGAGATGCATCTTAGCACCACGGTCTAAACACCACATAGGTGGCCCTAGATGACGATTCGGCCACATCAACTCCCCTAGATGGCTGTCCAGCTATGGACCTTGGAAGATGATGGGGATTTTGGTGGTGGCCAGCTGTTGACCGAGTAGACCTGCGCACGGTGACCTGATCAGGATAACGACGAGTTGCTGGCTCAGGTGCAGACGGCGCCTGGCCAGCCGAAGGAGCAAAAAGAGCCGCTGATGGTTCTGGAGCCCTAGAAACTTGCGATAAAGAGGCCTGAGAGGGTGGGGGCGGCACCACTACTGCAGGGAGCAAGGCTGCTGGCGGTGAGGCAGACACCTGCACAAATAATTCATCCTCAAAGGACAGTTCGTCATCCGGCACTGGAGCTGAAGGTGCAACAGGAGGACTCACGACCGGTAGGGGAGCCGGAGTGTCACTATTATGCAAGGGCTTCAGCAAGGACCGGTGTATTCTTTTCACTTTAGTCTGCTGGGGGCCACTGTGTATACAACACCACCTTCTCTTGGGGCTTGAAGCACTACATGGGTGACTGGCCCCACAGATCTTGGGTCTTTCGACGACCCTTGGCACTGTGGTCGCGAAGTAGCACCAGTTGGCCTTCCTTAAGTACCCCTCTCTTACGTTCTGGTCATGATTTGCCTTTCTGCGTGCAGCAGCTAAGCGTAGTCTCTCCCTGGCACCATCAAAGGCCACCTGAAGGCATGCCTGGTGCTCCTGCATCCACTCACAGTTCCCCCAACAGGTTCTGGCACCCGACTGAGCAGGAAGTCGATCGGCAGTCGCGGCTCCTGCCCAAACACCAAAAAGAAGGGCGACTCGCCTGTAGACTGATGAGGAGTGGTGTTGTAGGCGTACAGCACCTGAGGCAGGCAAGAACTCCAGTCTCTCTTACGGGATGTAGGCAGCGCACGCAACATGTTGTGCAGCGTGCGGCTGAAGCGTTCGCACTGCCCATTACCTGCTGGGTGGTATGGGGTAGTGCGAGACTTGATGATCCCGTACAAGCTGCACAACTGCTGAATGAGTTTACTTTCAAAATTCCGGCCCTGGTCGGAGTGGATGCGAGCCGGCACGCCAAACTTCGCAAACCACTCTGTGACCAGGACCTGCGCCACTGTAGAGGCTAGCTGGTTGCGGGTTGGGACGGCCAAGGTGTATTTGCTAAAAACATCGGTCATTATCAGCACATTCTCCAGACCATCAGGAGTTGGCTCCAGTAGTGTAAAGTCCACTGCAACAATCTCATTCGGCTGCGAGGCCAGTAAGTGGCTCATGAACGCGTGCGCAACAGGTTGATTGTCCTTTGCATGCTGACATCTCTCGCAAGCCTGGCACCATTGGGCTACCTCACGGGACATACCAGGCCAATAGCACCTGGAACGCAACAGGGCTAAAGTCCTTTCTATACCTTGGTGTCCATGCTACTGATGGACTTGGGTGAGGGCATCCTGAACAAGGGCTCTGGGCAGAAGAAGTTGATACACAGCCCCACCACCATCAGGGACGAAACACCTGCCGATACAGCAGCCCCTCTAACTCAACCAAGCGGTCCCACTGGGCCAGCACTAAAAGGGCAGCGGAAGAAAGGGCTCGTCGCTCTATACGAGTGGGCTGTCGATTCTGTTGCCAGAAGGTCAGGATCTCCTGAAGGGTGGGGTCAGACTGCTGAAGCTCCCGGAGGTCAGCAGGGGCAACATAAGGGAGGACAGTCACCACAGACTGTTGCCCGTGTAGCTGCTGCAAAGCTGCTGCTGCCTGTGAAGCCTGCCCAGGCTGTGCACTGACCTGATCGGTACTTCCACTCAAAATCAAACGAAAGCTAACTGGGCGGCCCAACGCTGCTCAACAGCTCCCAGTTTGGCAGACGCAAGATGGCTCAGGGGGTTGTTGTCAGCATAGACCATGCATCTATGGCCTAGGAGATACTCCCTGAACTTCTCAGTCATAGCCCACTTAAGGCCCAGCAACTCAAGCTTCATAGAGCTGTAGTTGGACATATTACGCTCAGTCGGACTCAGCCCTCGAACTGGCGTAGGCAATAGGCCGCACCTTCCCTTCCTGCTCCTGGGAGAGCACTGCCCCCAATCCAGCATGACTTGCATCAACCTCCAAAATGAATGGGAGGGAGAAGTCAGCGTAGGCAAGTACCGGAGCCATGGTGAGCTTGGCTTTTAGAGCCTCAAAGCTCTGCTGACATTCTGGGGTCCAGGGTCCAGCATCACTCCGGACGGGCCTTTTCCTGGACTTCTTACCAGTCAGTTCAGCAACTCTGCGATGTAGGGGAGCAGCCAGTTTGGCGAAACCCTCGACAAAACGTTGGTAGTAGCTGGCGAATCCAAGGAAGGAACGAAGTTCCGTAGCCGTGGATGGTGTAGGCCAGTTAACTACTACTTCAGTTTTGCTGGGGTCCGTGGCAACTCCCTGATCGGAGATCACATGACCCAGGTAGTGCACCTCCCGCTGGAAGAAACGGCACTTGCTCAGTTTAGCCTTGAGCCCTTCTTTCTGCAACCTCCCCAGCACCACGCCCAGCCTCTCCAGATGTTGCTGTACCGTGGACGAAAATATAACAATATCATCCAGGTAAAGAAGGAGCGACTGGCATTGCTGGTCCCCAAAGACACGTTGCATCAACCGTTGGAAGGTGCTGGGGGCGTTGCAGAGCCCAAAAGGCATACGATTCCACTCAAACAAACCGAAGGGCGTACAGAAAGCTGTTTTGTGCCGGTCACTCTCTCTGCAACAGGGACTTGGTTATACCCGCTGGCCAGGTCCATAGTGGAAAACCAGCGGGCCCCTGTCAAAGCATCGAGTGACTCCTCGATTCGTGGTAGCGGAAAAGCATCCTTTCGGGTCTTCAGATTGAGTTGACGGTCAGTCAACGACAGACGAATGCTGCCATCCTTTTTCCGGACTAAGACAATAGGTGAAGCATATGGGCTGGAGCTCTCTCTAATAATTTGTGCTTTCAATTTGAGCTGATTTCAAGAGCTGATTGATGCTCTTTCACCAACTCATATTCCGATGGAGGAATGCGGCGGTATCGCTGC